GTCCATATTCGTCTTAACTTTGTACATTGCAAAGAAACAGGAGCCTGGGTCTATTTCATAGTCCAAATCCTTATCCCTGCCTTGCTTTGAACCTTTCAAACACTGCTTCATTTAAATACCATCTAAATTCCACTGTTTCCTGCAATCTTACAATAATTCTATCTTTTGCTTTGCTGAGTCATCCCCTGCTCTGGTCCACAGTCGCCTTCATTGCATTGGGTCCATAAACTCAACTGTATCAGGTAACAGTTGACACAGCTTGCTCCTGGTGTTCTCAGGCTGATTGGGCTGGGGAAATTCTCATCCATTTACCAGAATAGTATGAAGAAGCTAGACAGAAGCCAAGTTCGAAGATAAGGTCACTCAAAGAGAATTGTTGCTTTGTGACAAGGTCCGAGTCTACTTATAAGATACTAAGATAAGACAAGAAATCAGTGTGCCATCGCACCATACCTCAGTGTTGGTCTGTTGCTCTTGCCTTCAGTTCTGACTGGTCTCAGAATAAGAAGATGGAGTTAGGATAGCAAAGAAAGATTCAGTGATTTCAACTGAGGAAAGTGCCTGGAAGGTAGGAACCAGCTGGTTGAGACTGAAATCCAGGAGTGTGCAAAAAGACCAGTGATATAAACCCAAGCACAGCAGTCCTTGGCCAGAGGGTTTGTCTGGGTTCTCACAAAGGGAGATACCTGGGAATTAAAATCTGCAAAGGGCAAAGAGTTTCCTCCCCACAGAGCTTTCTTAATCTCTTTGAAGAGAAAAAGACTAGGGAGGAAAATAAGGAAACAGAGTAAAGGAGAGAGGGGTAGAGCAGGTGGCAAAGTCCAAAATAATGAGTTTGGGAATAAGTGAAGTGCCTTCTGATCAAGCTCTATAAAGTCAGTGTTTCATGCTAGAGTGGGAACTGGGAAAACTCATGAAAACAGGTTTAGTCTTATGTATTGGTGATCTTTAGACTTTGCACTCTTTTTCTGAGCTGCAAGGCTGCCCCATAGGAATTGACTTCTTTCTTTAATTTTTCGGCATCTGAATTCAAGATCCCTGTTCAGGGGGTAGAGGATGGGAACATTGTGTTGTTAGTTTGTTTCAGTCTCCAGAGGATTTGCTTCTAAGCAGCAGTGAATGGATCACTGTGAGAACACAATGATATTTTCATCTATGACTGAACTAGTCTATTCTGTTTCTGCTCCTTTTAGGGAGAGGAAAATTGTTCCTGGTTATTTTGGTCTAAAGTGTTTCAAAATTTCCATTACAAAGCATAAAGCAAGTTTGACTTCTGGGAAATTATACTTCAGTTAATAATTTTAAATGCATTTGTATGGTGAGGTATAACTTTATACAGGTTATCTTTCTATGTAAAAAATAGATTTTATAAACAACAACAAAAAACTGTCACCATATTTCCTGATTGGTGGTATGAGTCCATGCAGAAGGAATTCTCCAGTCAGATGGGGAAGACAAGACCACCTTTGGAAGTAAGTTTTCAGATCTTGTCTTTAGTCATAAGTGGAGTAATCCATGTAGCCAGAGAGAAATCTAACAAATCCACCAACACCATCATGATACTCTCTTGTTCAAGACTGACAATGTTTCCTTGGCTCTTTTCCTGTGGTACAGATAAATCTAGAAACACGTTCCACTGCCATTCTTCCCTGACCCCTCTGCACGTACATCCTTCTTTCTTTCTTGGTTTTGTTTGTTTGTTTGTTTGTTGTTTTTGTTTTTGTTTTTGTCTTTTAAGTCTCTGCTTCAAAGTGGGAAAGAAACTTAGAGGCTTCCAAGGAAAAAAAGTCAATGTGAAAAAGTAAATATAAAATGATTACTAGCAGGAATTATTTTCTAAAGCAACTGCTTTCAAACTTTTAAAACTACAACCAAGAGTCAGAAAAATATTTTACATTAGGTCCTATTACATGTACACTTAGATATATTCGTGTGTGCGCATATATAGATAGATATGATCCAGCTTCACAAAACAGTACACTATAATTTTTCTTTTTTATTCTTTTGTTTTATAAAATACTTGTCATTAGTCACTAAATTGGTATGATCTACTAAATGAGTGGCAGCCTGCAGTTTAAAAAGTACTGTTATTGTGGGCAATATTACCAGGCAGTGTCTTAATCTTTATTCCAGAAAATAACTCACAATAAACTTTGCTTCCTAATACCAGAATTCTTGTGTTCAAAGGATCTGCTTTTGCAATGTTCTTTCATAGTGTGTCTGCTCCATTCTTGCCCTGAACATCCAGAAGTCAATGCAGATGTTATTGTATAAAAAAAAAAGATCATTTCTTTGTTATTTCTGATATCAACCTTAGATTCTAAGCATCCCTTCCCTCAAATATTTCTTAAGGTAAAATCTTTATAAGCACTGACTAGAAATTGATGCAGCTTACTCTCTTACTGCAGGCAATATCTGCAGAGACTCTTATTGGACTGGAACTGGCTTAGAAAATGATGGAACAATAAGGGCAGATCAAACCTTATGGCACTTCATAAAATGAAATCAAGCACACCTGTGAAGAAAAATGAAGTTGATCTGTGTGCTATGAACCAATATTTAAGGTATTTGTTAAATTGAGAAAAGCTAGATGAACGTATTGTATATAGTAGACTTCCACGTTTTCAAAAGAAGAATGTATGTGCATAGACTATTTCTGAAAGGCTCCACAAAATATTGGTGATAAGAATGGCTTACAGGCAATAGGAAAGAGAAATAGAGGGCTGGGAGTCTAGAAGGGTCAAGATTTAAAACAAAACTTCTGTAGACCTTTTTATGGTGTTTGATTTTTTTATTTTGTGCATATACATATATTCCTTTTTCAATTAAAAATAGTTAATTTTAAAAGAAATATTATACATCGGATTTTGTGATAGAAGGGTTATTTGCAGATTCTTTAGGATGAAGAGAATTTTCCGTGTGAGCAATTGTATAAATGGTTGTCTATTATAACACTGAGATTTCTCGCCTTCATTTTTGTATCTTGTATAGTTTACAGAGTTCCATGTCCATTGCCTGACTTAGTGTTTATAGCCACCTTTTGAAATAGTCGTGACACGTACTAGAAGCAGTGCTTTACAAATTAAAACAAAACAAGAAAACCCTAAAATATGAAGAAATTTAAAACCTAGAACATATTCTAAGGAAAGAAGTTCAGAGTCATGATGTGGCTGTGATGTGGTAGAAACCTGGACATTTTACACTCTTAAGAATTACCAAGAAGTTTATGAATAATATTTTAAAACTCTTCAACAATATTTCTTACAATGTTGATCCCTTAACTAAAGAACACTTGCATAGGGGAGGAAGAAGGTAGAAAAATAAACCTCCTGAAACTCTTTTTATAAAATATGCCTGCCATTAGAAGGTAAATTGTCAACTACTGGTTTAAAATTAACATTAAAGAAGTTGTGTTCATAATCTCACTCTATAGATTTTCAGCTTTGCATTAGAACAAAGCTAAAATAATTATCTCATGGAAAAAGATGGAGATTTCAAAGCATCACTACTAAACCTTGAAAAATACCCTTAAGCCTTATCGGTTAGGGTTATAGTATCTCCCAGTTTCCCTGGGACAATTTCAAATTATATCTCCTGCATCCATATAGTTACTCATATCACCCCTTTCATTCTCCAAAGTGCCCTAGTTTAGATGATAAACTATATCTCCACCCTATTAAATGTTCATCTCTATTCTCATACACTTTAAGATTGTTATTTTCTAGGAATTGGGCTTCATCTTGGGCCTAAGAATTACCTTCATTCATGCCAAAGCTGAGTGATACATACTCAGATTGTAACTGCGTAAAAGAGTTTTCCAAACCATTCCCCAGCAGCCACTTTAACTTTATTAAAGAGATTAATAGTGGGAAGGGTGGCTTAGTGTCTGGTTTAGAAGTTTTGGTACGTTCAGGTTTTCAAGAGAAATGTGAACAAAGAATGACTTGGTGAGACTGATGTAAATAATTGATGGCACGTAACACAGTTCTAGAGTTCAAAAAGTCATGCTCTAATTAGAATTCTCTGGGTCGGCAAGTCAAGGCGGTATTGATCTGTGTTAATCTGAGTAACTTATTGCTTAGCCTATAAATAAATTCCAAAATATCCAATTTAAAAAAAAAAGTGATATTCCTCCAGAGTCATTCATGTGTCATTTACTGGTTAACATTTGGAGTGGCTCCTGGGAGTAAGACACTGTTCTAAGTACTGCTTGCCAGTAGTTTTCGGGACTTTGTGCTAAATTTCCTGTGGTTTGCTGAGATGTATTTTTTTTTTAATCAGATTTTAACATCAGATGTTATACATCAGATTACGGATCAGATTTTATACACCAACTCATCTCTGAGCTCTTTTCTGACTAGCACTCTTTAAAATTTCTGTGATTTATAACTACTCTATTTGATCGTTAGAAAGATTATTCCCATGGCCCAAATAGGTTGAATGGTAGCTGCAATATTTTTCATGTAACAAATGTATTTCTTCCATAGAACAAGCAACTGAATCTGAAACCAAGTTGGCTATCACAGAACAGCATCTTTTACTCAGCAGTAAGCAGACCACCTCTCCAGAATACATAACTGTGGAGACCTAAGGCAATGCCACAGGTTGCTTTTAAGATGTGTTCACCTACTGCATTCTCTGAAGCACACAGCACTTAAATTGAAGTTATCATGTAGTGATTACTTGAGGTTTCTGCGTGAAGTATTAAAGAATATTTTAATTGTTCTTTTATGTTTAGATTTACACTTTTAACAAAATATCTTCCGAACATGAATATTAACAGGCATGTACCAAAGGTCATGCATTCAGAGTCTCTCTCTGCAGGAGTTAGGCCTTGGTTCTGATTCCAACTGTTTGACTTGATTCCCCTAGTTTTTTTTGTGGATGTTTACGTACATCTCCTGTTTATTTCTCCGATTTCTTTACTTTCTTGGAAATCTTTTTTCTGCTCCATTACCAAACTTTTACAAAAGGAATCTTGTGGGTTTTTTTCTTTTGTTCTAATCATCACTAGTTGAGTGGTTACTGTCACTGCCTTCACTGTCACTACTGTCATTGTCACTTCCATTGTTGCCATTACCAGATTTGCTCTGGCTGTTATTCTCATCACTGCTGTCAGATGTGCTGTCGCTGCTGTCGCTGTCACTGCTGTCGCTGCTATCGCTACTGTCACTGCTATCGCTGTCACTGCTGTCGCTGCTATCACTACTGTCACTATCGCTGTCACTACTGTCACTGCTATCGCTGCTGTCACTGCTATCACTGTTGCTGCTGTCGCTGCTATCACTACTGTCGCTGCTATCGCTACTGTCACTATTGCTGTCACTGCTGTCACTGCTATCACTACTGTCACTGCTATCGCTGTCACTACTGTCACTGCTATCACTGTCACTACTGTCACTGCTATCACTGCTGTCACTGCTATCACTGTCGCTGCTGTCGCTGCTATCACTATTGTCACTGCTATCGCTGTCACTACTGTCACTACTATCACTGCTGTCACTGCTATCACTGTCGCTGCTGTTGCTGCTATCGCTACTGTCACTGCTATCGCTGCTGTCACTGCTATCGCTGTCACTGCTGTCGCTATCACTACTGTCACTGCTATCGCTGCTGTCACTGCTGTCACTGCTATCACTATCGCTGCTGTCACTGCTGTCACTGCTATCACTATCGCTGCTGTCACTGCTGTTGCTGCTATCACTACTGTCACTGCTATCACTGCTGTCACTGCTATCACTACTGTCACTGCTATCGCTGCTGTCACTGCTGTCACTGCTATCACTACTGTCACTGCTATCGCTGCTGTCACTGCTATCACTACTGTTGCTGCTGTCACTGCTATCACTACTGTCACTGCTATCACTGCTGTCACTGCTATCACTGCTGTTGCTGCTGTCATTGCTGTCACTGCTGTCACTGCTATCATTGCTGTCATTATCACTGCTGTCACTGCTGTCGCTGCTATCACTACTGTCACTATCGCTACTGTCACTGCTATTGCTGCTGTCACTATCACTGCTGTCACTGCTATTGTTGCTGTCACTATCACTGCTGTTACTGCTATTGCTGCTGTCACTACTATCGCTGCTGTCACTGCTATCACTGCTGTCACTGCTGTCACTTTCACTGCTGTTGCTGCTGTCACTGCTGTCTGACTTACTGTCACTATCACTGCTGTCACTGCTATCTGATTTGCTGTCTGACTTGCTGTCACTGTTGTCACTACTGTCACTGCTATCACTACTGTCACTGCTATCACTGCTGTCACTACTGTCACTACTATCACTACTATCACTGTCACTGCTATCACTGCTGTCACTACTGTCATTGCTATTACTATCACTGTCACTATCACTGCTGTCACTGTCACTGCTGTCACTACTATCACTACTGTCACTGCTATCACTGCTGTCACTACTATCACTGCTATCACTACTGTCACTGTCACTATCACTGCTGTCACTGTCACTGCTGTCACTACTATCACTACTGTCACTGCTACTGCTGCTCTCACTGCTATCACTGTCACTGCTATCACTATCACTGCTATTGCTGCTCTCACTATCACTGTCACTGCTGTCACTGCTGTCACTGTCACTGCTGTCACTGCTGTCGCTACTGTCACTGCTGTCATTACTATCATTGCTATTTGATTTGCCTTTGCCACTGTCTGATTTGCCATTGTCATTGTTCCCATTGTTACCATTGCCATTATTGTCACTATCATTAGCATCTGATGTGCTATCACTGTCACCATCTTCTCCTTTTGAGTCACTGTCATTGCCATTATCTTTTGATTCATCAGAGTTATAAGAAGCATCTCCTTGGCTATTGCTGTCATTGTCACTTTCTGAATTAGCATCATCATTGCCATTAGATTCATCACTGCTGTCAGGATCATCTCCTTGCATGGACTCATCATCAAAATCATAACTGTCATAACCATCACTCTTGCTGTCACTACCTGTGTTGCTGCGTTCAACTTTATTTCCTGGTCCTGATTTTTGGCCAGGTGTTTCTGTGTTGTCAACCTCCCCTTGTGTCTTCACATTTCCTTTGCCCAAGATCACTCCATGTTGTCCTTTATTCTCTTTATCTTCGTTGGCCTTCGCAGCTTCTTTCGTAATATTTCTGTTGCCACTGCTGGGACCTTTGATTTCTATTCCCTGTGGAAGGATGAAGGAAAGAATGATGAATTAGTGAATATTTGCTGCAAAATTGTATTGATCTGAGGAAGAATAATGGGGGAAAGTTACCATAGGGATAGGAGTTCCACTTCTAGTACTTCACAGTTATTTGTGAAAATGTGCTTTATTCCATAATTGAAAGCACCCTGGTGTTTAGATTCCTTAAAAACCCATTCATATACCTACCCAGTAGGAACTTTTGCAAACAATTACATGGGGGAGCCATAATTTTGCATAAGAACTTTCTAGAATTGTAACCAAGTTCTCAGAAATGTATTATTTTTAAAGTTGTTCTGTATTAAAGACTGGCAAAGCTTCTAGCTTTCCTTTAAATAGTCAAGTAATGTGGATGCAAAAATACATGGATGCTTGTCATGGTTTCATGTTTGTGCTAACATCAGTAGATGGAGGGGAAGAATTTGAACTGCCATTGAAAGAGATCAGCTTTACAAACTTACCTTATCTTGGGTCTTCCCAACAGCATGTGGCTCTGATTCTTCAGTGATTCCATTTTCTACACCTTTGCTTTCTCTGTGGTAGAGCTGCTGGGAGTCCGCTATTCTTTGGCTGCCATTGTCTTCTGGAATACCAGCAGAATTCTCCTCACTCTTGGAGGTGTTGTCTCCCTCACCATCATTGTGGGGGTCTTCTTTGCCTTCAGGGTCATAATCTTCACTACTATCTGAATTTTGACCCATGCTACTATTATTATCATCTTTCCCATCGTCCTGGCCCTCCTGGCCCTTGCTGTTATCACTGCCGTCTTTTCCATTCCCTGCCTCTTCATCTTCATCATCACCAGAGCCCTTGTCTTCATCCTCCTCTGCTCCATTCCCACTAGGACTCCCGTCAGAATTATCCAGGCCATCATCTTCTCCAATGCCTCGTGTCACCTCAGCCTTCTGAGTCCCATTTCTCTCGCTGTTGATCTGAGGTGTTATTTCACTTCTATTACCCTCATTTCTACAGGAGTTCTCAATTATTTCATCCTCATTGTCTGTACTGTTATTGCTTCCAGCTAGTTGGGGTCCCTCTTCCTGGACAACAGCAGCATCCTCATTGTGACTTGCATCACCAACATCCCCATTTTGGGTATTCTTATCAGTATTTCCACTAGTGTTGCTTCTGTTTGTGGCTCTGGCATTGTCAATGATGATTACTTGTCCCTGGATGCCATTTGCTGTGGTGTTTTCTTCTTTCCTGTGTATTCCATCATGACCATATGTTTCTGTTTTTCCTGTGTCCCCATTCCAACCCTCAATATTCCCCTCTTCATTTGCTATTGTGGAATATGTAGGAAAACTCTTCCCTCCTACTTCTGCCCACTCAGAGCCATTCTCTTCTCCCTTGTGACCATCTTGGGTATGCTCTTGCCTTCCTCTTTCACTTTCATGCATGGGGACACCAGTTTCTTTAGTGGTTCCATTGGCATTTAACTCATCCTGAAAAAGAGAAACAACTTAATTAATTATAAGTATCAGTGATCTTGAAGAATAGCATTTTCCAATCTTGGAGAAGTTAATGGAATGTAGCGACTCAGAAATAGAAAATAAAATGAAATATTTTATGTCCTATACCTGTACTGACAGTTTTAATCTTGTGAAGAGAGGTAAATTCCCAGATTTCTCAACAACATGTCTCTCCAGTGGTTTGCTCTGAGGAACCTGCCAAGTAGAAAATGCTGGCTATTGAAAAGGTTTTTATTTGTGAATATGTGCATGAACAGGCATGCACTCACATGCACGCACACGCACGCGCGCACACACACACACACACACACACACATTTTCCCTCAATGAAGAAGAAAGATTTAACACAAAGGCCAAAGTATAATCTAATCAGAAAGAAAAGAGAAGTGGCTTCTCACAGAATGTGTGTAGAGTTTAAACTGGGTACATGGAAATGTTTCACTGTGGTATTATCAATTTTATGGATGTGTTAGCTCAGCCAACTTAACTGTAGAAGAAAAGAGTCTTTTAGAAAGATGAGGGGATAGACTGCTGGTGTTTCTGTACAACAAACCTCTCTTGCAATAGCACAAGACCCAGTCTAAGTGTAATCTTGACCAAAGCTCTTAAGACAACGGTAGGCATGACCAGAGCCTGCACAGAAGCAAAATCAAGTATTATGCTATTATACTTCTATGCACTGCAAGAGCACATCTGAAATACTTGAGAACATTTTCAACTACATGAATATCAAATTATTGGTATTATGAAAGCATACCAAAATGTTAAACATGGATGCTGGATAGGAAAATTACAAATGGTTTAATTTTCCCAACTTTTATTGGTATTAATGCTGTATATTCCAAATTTTCCTCAGTGAGCACGTAAATAATAACTCTCTGAGTAAACATTCATTTCCCATATGTTAAAAAAAATCCTACTTTTTCCTATTATTCTTTCGTGGAAACTTCCTAAGCAGTGTGGACTTTGTTCATATTAAAATGAAATTTGCAGAGTATGAAGCAAAGATTGACAAAGTCTCCATGACTTCTGGGCACTAAGTGTAAATTTATCTGAATAAATGTTTTAAATAATAATCCTTCAAACAAGACGTGAGTTTCTATAGAGGAAAGAGAATATGAGTTGAAGTGGTTTTGTTGAGACCCCACATAATGCCTTTTGTGCAAATCTGAATGTTTAGAATTAGCCTATTAACAAAATATTGAGGAAATACACACACACACACACACACACACACACACACTACATTTTGTATTAATGTTAGGTTAAAAGAGATAACAAAGTGAAGAGGTTTTCTGAGAAAGGCATACTTACTGGAATGGCCCATGCTACTGCCCAAATGCAAAAATACGTAATTATCTTCATTTTCTTTAGGAATAATAATAATCAATGGCTGTATAAAAAAAAGGAACAGCACAAAATTACTTATAAAGTAAAAGTGATCATCATAGTGCTATATTATTTTGACATGTAAGCATCTGTCCTTTTCCTAGGCAAGGAGCATGTATCTAACATGAGAAGACGTATGATGTTCCAGAACATACCTGGTGTGGTGATGGGGTCATTACCAGATTCAGCACTAATGTAGCTTCCTAGATTTTTTTCTGCCTGTGCCAATGAAGGAAAACAGCCATATAGGTACAAAGGGCATAGTCATAACTTTGTTCTTCTGCAATTCTTGGATGTAAAAACATCTCTTTCTCTTCTGAATAGCTTTAATCAAGTATTAACTAATTCTGCTGAAATTGTGCTTAAAAGATGAAACACTTGTTGTCTTCACTCCAAATCTATAGAATTGAGCTATACTAGACTTTAAGAGAAAGAAGTTACTAACATGAGGGAACCTATGATAGCGGAAGAATATGGGGTTTGTATTCAGAGACCTGGGTTCAGATGCTACCCCTGCTACTTGCTGTGGAAGCTTGAGAAATTTGAGTAGCTTTATTATCCCTCCACCTGGGATGATAACAATACTTGTACTTCAGGATTATCCTGAAGTTTGGTAGAATTATCTCTGAGAAGCCCTCTCTGACTTCCCTCCAAGGATTTTTGGTATCTCTTTCCTTTTTATACCAAGCAGTTTTGCGCATCTCCCTAGAAACACATTGCACTTTTTAAAATTGCCTAGTTACTTATGTGTTGCCCTGATTTATTGAAAGCTCCTGAGGCCCAGGACAGTGTCTTGGTGATTATTGTATTCCAACGCAAAGCACAGATAAAGACATTTTCTGAATGTTGTTGATAAATGTTTATGACTATAAACAATATCTAGCATTGCTTCAGGCACTTTGCAATTTTCTAATAAATGATAGCACTTATTATATGGGACTTCTAAACACATGATTCTTCATCCCTGTTAGAATTCAAATTCAGAAATGGTCTAATATATGTTTTTGATAAATTGGAATAGCTATTTTGCAATCTGTGTGAGTAAAAAAATTAATTTATATAGCAAGTTGGATTTCTTGATGTAATGATGCCATTATTATAGAAAGGAAAGTTTTACTCCTATTTCATGAACTCCCACTGGATGTATAGATTATAATTCTGCGTGTCGTAAAATGGCCTTAATTGGATTTAATGATGATAGTGAAAATATAATAAAACTTCACTGAATATCAACTATCATGAGAATTATTGGCATTTTCTCACATGTAAAATGACATAGTTTCAGGGGTACTGAGGGAGAAAAAAAGTGCTCACTCTTCTAGCTGTTCAACAGAAAGCCAAGAAGAGCTAGGGCCCCTTCTAAAATGCCATAGATTCAAGTGAGGCTGAAGTGACACCAGGACAAGTGTCGCGCAAAGCTCTGGGGCACAGATGTTGAAGGCCAGCTGTTTAGTAAGCCACAGTTATCCTGTACTTGGCAGGCCCAAGCCTAATCATTACATAGCGCTGCAGAAGGCCTGTCTGCACTCTGATTTGGAAGAGCCACAACATCCTGGAAAGGTACCTGCAGCCAAGGCCAGAGTGATGTGTGTCCCGTTTCTGAGCTGCAATCCAGAAATCTGACCACTACGTCTCTCTTTCAGCTCCCCTCCAGAACACTTCCACATTGATGCTTGTCACTGTTTGTCAGGGCAGGTGAATGACCTCGAAGACTACTATAAAAATGGCCCAGGTGTTCTCAGCCTGAAGCAGAGACTTTAGAATTTTGTGAACCTCCTTCAGATTATTTCATTTATTGTCACACATGAAATGAGATTTAGCTTCATTTCATTTAGCAATTAGATTTAGCATCACTAGTGATTACTAAATCTCTTTGTATGTGGGACAATAAATAATAAGTAAGTAATAAAATACTGGAAAGCAAAGCCTAATTAAAGCCTTGTTTGAAAGCCCAAGGTGGATTTTTTGAAATCTGAGTTATTTCATTTTTTTAATCAAAACTAATCAAAGTGTCCAGATAATTAATTATCAGATTTCCACCTCAGTTGGCCAAGTTTTCAGTACATCTTTCTTTTTCCCAATCTAGCTCTTCCTTCGCTCGTAATTGTCCATTATCTTGTACACATACTATCAATAAGACAAGTCAAAAAGGAAGCAAACAATCTAATTGTTAAGGAGTATTCATTCACATATAGATAGATAGATAGATAGATAGATAGATAGATAGATAGATAATTAGATAATTGCTCTTTAGGTTCTGGTCATTCACTTCTTAAAATCAAGCTGACTTCCTCTTTGAAATTCAAAGTTCTTTCTAAACGAATCAGTTGGTTCTGAGTAAAAAGGATGTTTCATCTTACCTTAAAGGGCTTCAAAAGGACTTTGAAAATCCAGAATTTCTTATCTTTCTTTTTGAAGACTGAACGTGGCCTACTGTCCTGGACTTTTGCATGACAATTTTGTACCTGCTGAAATTTAAACTCAGTTTGATAATTTTCTCAACCAATCACTGTTTAGGATCCCTGATACGGGGTTATAAAGTGTCATCGTGTCTACGAAGCACATAATAACTTCCCCACTTCCTTCACTTGCTGATATGTATTTGCTCACTGAACCGTTCAGTTCCAAAAGGACTAGACTTACTTTCACTTAATTAAATAGCTCCTGTGAGGCTGTTTCACATCTTAAATATAGAGAATCAGTGTAACATATCTGAAAAGAGCCACTTAAACTCTGTCACCCTGACATTTCTTGTCTTGCCAAGGTTGGCAATCTAAGAAAACTCTAGGTTTCTTTAGTAAATATGACTGCCGATTTAAGACCCCTATCATTCCTGAGGTAGGTATTAAAGTTTGTGCGCTATAATTCAAGAAACTGTCCACATGCAACAGCCTTTATGTTGCCTGAGGGATCTTTAACAATCTATAAACAGTAACTCCCCTGAAATCTCTCTGATTTAACTGAAATAAGCAGTGACATAAAAGCTTAAAAATCTGTCAATTGAGTATTCAAACTACATTTTAAAAACAGACATTCAAAATATCAAAAGTAGCAAGATGTTCAAAGGTGCAGAAAGACAACGGATTTATCTGTCCATTATTTCTCAGTTATCTGTGTTAGATGCAGAATGCAAAATAGAAAACGAGACTTTATGTCTAACAAGTTTTGGGACCAGAATGCATCTTCTCTTGAATGCTAGATGTACTATAATGCAGGTAATCACTGAACAATTCCTTCATTTCATTCGTTCAAAAACTTGACACTCTCTCTATATAAACTTGTTTAGAATTTTCAAGAATATGACAACTTTTGTGTTACAATATTAAAGAATGTGAAACACATAAGACCACTAACGCTATATCACTGTGCAACAGTGGTATCTCCAGAACATATATACAAAAATTCATGGTATTTTTATACAGCATAAAGCTTTACAGGTAGGGAAAACAGTAAGGTTAAAATAAGTGAAGGGAATGGTAAGGATATTTGCCTTGAAGCTGTTTTCATAGTGAATACTTTGTTTTTATTCACATAGTGAATTTACTTGGGCAGATTAAAGGGGCTAATAACTTTTAAGAAGGCTCAAGTCACTTCTGGTCATGATACCCTCCCCCACACATACATTCATCAGTGGAGGTTGGTGAACTGAACCTGCCTTCCTTTTCCTTAATTTAAATTAACATGAATTATAGTCAGAGATTTCAATAACCCTCTCTTAACAGAAAAACACAATTGATATACAAGCTTTAAACAGAAGTATCATCCAACTTGATCTAATTGACATTTACAGATCACTTCATGCAGCAACAGCAAAAGAAACATTCTTTTCAAGTGTACCTGGACCATTTACCAAGATAGAATGTAGTGTGAGCCCCAAAACGCATCTCAATAAATCTAAAAGAATTTAAGTCATACAAAGTATGTTTACTGACCAAAATGGAAGGCAAATAGAAATCAATAACAACAGAATTCTGGAAAACCCCAAGTATTTTAAAGCTAAGTGGAACACTTATAAATAGTCAATAGGTAAAAGAAGAAACAAAAAGGGCAATTCAAAATATATGGGATTGATTGAAAATGAAAGCACAGCATATCAGAATTGGTGGGATGTCACTAAAGCAGGACTTAGGACTTAGCAGGACATATATAGAACTAAGTAGCCATATATGAAGAGAAAAAGTTTCAAAACAATGACCTCAGTTTCCACCAAAGAAGGAAAAATTAAGTTCAAAGCATGTAGAGGAAAAGAACTAATAAATATCAGAACTGACATTAATTAAATAGAAAGCAGAAAAATAATAAAGCCAGTGAAATCAAAAGCTGATTCTTTGAGGAGTTCAATAAAATTTAGAAGATTCTTTCCATATTAATGAGGGAAATAAGGGAGAAGACACAAATTAGCAATATCAGGAATGAGAGAAATGACAACTCTACAGATTTTATAGACATTCTATAAATATTCTATAGGGGATAATAAGGAAATACTAGAAACATCTTTATGCTAATAAATTAACAACTTAAATGAAGTGGATAGATTCCTTAAAACTGTCAAAGCTCACTCAAGAAAACATAGAAAACTTGAATTGCCTTGTATCTATTAAAGAAATTAAATTCATAGTTTAAAACTTTCCCAGAGAGAAAACTTTGGGCCCAAATGGTTTCACTTGAGAGGCACTGGTGGTTCAGTGGTAGAATTCTTGCCTCCCAAATGGTTTCACAGACAAATTCTGTGACATATTTAAGGAAGATGTCATTACAATCCTACACAAACTCTTCCAGAAAATAGAAAAGGAGAAAATACTTCACAGCTCCTTCTGTGATGCCAGCATTACCGCAATACCAAACCAAAAATGTTCTAAGACTATAACACTATTGACCTATATCCATCACAAATGTTAATACAAAAATTTTAAGTAAAATGTTAGTGAATCAAATTCAACAATATGTTTTTAAAAGATAATACATGATTAGCAAAT